GGCGTTATTATCATTTATAACGAATACGACAAATTTCAAAATATGCCAATATGTAAATTCACATATATCCTAAGAAATTTTGAATAAAAAACTCTAATTTTTGCAGGTATACTTAGAACTGAGAACACCTACTTTAAGATGAAGGTAAAAATGTTTTTGAAAAATTTATAAAACATATTTAAAAATACAAATCTTAAAAATAAATCATAAAAAATTGGCAGAATTTTATTTGGAATGAACCTAAATTTTGAATTCTGGTGGAAGGAATCAAGTAAGTTTAATAAAAAAATGATATATTAATAAATATATGTATCAAATTCAATTAACATTGAAAAGCTAAAATATTGAGAGTTTATTTTTTAAAAACTACTTGTGTGATGTTTACAAGCCTTGGCAGTTTGGCAGAATTTGAGAATAGTCGCCAAATCGAAATATGGAAAATAATTGCATGTCATTTCAGAAAGGTCAGATTTTGTGATAAAATACCTATATTAGAACAATGCTATACAGTCAAAAGTCTTTAATCCGGACTATCGATTTTTCTGGATTATAGATCATAAGTTTAAATCTGGTAAGATGGCATGCAGAAATTATAAAATTAAAAATATGAAACTGTAATTTATGAAATAAAGAGCAATTACGATCTAAAGGGTATCAAAATTTACAAAAAAAAAAAAAAAAAAAAAGCTTAATATTTATTTGTTTACTTTATTAAACATTTCTTTCAACGCGCGCATGCATAAAGCATACATTACGTATAGTCGAAATTAGAAAATTGCAACCAGAAAACTATTTGATTTGTATTCGTGATATTTATAATGATGAGGAATTTGATTTAAATCATATCAAACACGGAGTACATCGAGATGAAATACTACATTTAGTAAGGAACTATAAGCCAAATAAAATAAAAATATCCGCCCTGAAGATAAGGACAGTGCTGACAGATTGACAGATCAACTTCCAGTTCATAGCACTGCGCGACGCCCCCCCCCGCGCGCAGAGCAGCGTGAAATTGATAAACAGATTTCGGAATGGTTAGAGAAACAAAGGAGCCTTTATCCATTTTTTGCAGCAACTCCACTTTTTGTTTGATGGACATCGAAACATGCTTTCGCTTTGTAGATCCTTTGGCAGCTCCAGAATCGGAAATTCTTTTTGACATAATCGAACGTTCAAGCTTACTTTTTATAAAATTGCTCTAACAATCTGCAAAAAATAATAAGCCGGATCCAATTAGAAGATTAAGGAACAACGCAATCTGCAACATTAACTGAAATAGATAATTAGATAATTTTAGCTTAGCTTATAGCGTCCGTTATAATTAAACGCGCATGCGTAAAGGTTTTATGCGCATGCGTCAACACATTATGTTTTGACGCATGCGCAGAAAGTTAGTAGCTTTGAGGTCCGGATTAAAGACTTTTTGACTGTATACAGCATGTTATGTTACAAAGTTAACATGGAAACTTAAAGGTAGACAAAGAACACTGACTATTATGTGAAAGCATATTTAACCTTCCAGCACACGCGCTTCGCAATTTTTACATGAGCATGTGAGTCGTATTTTTTACGACATCTTCTACTATACCAGGTTTGGCACAAAAAATGACAGATATGAGTGAATATTGATAATAAATTTGTTAAAACATAAAATATTAACCATATTATTGCAAAATACAAATGATGTCACATTCAAATGACAGTAAATTATTTTTAAACACTTATATTAGCCAGGTGGAAGAGCAATGATGTATTTTGTTATAGAAATTTAAAAATTTATTATTTAATAACTATATTTAAAAATCCAAGCTAGTTTTAATATTCATCTATCCTGTCCTGTTGATTTATCATCGATGAAATAAATCTTGTCATAAATCCAGAAATAATCTTTTGTAGCTCATCACAGCTCTTATTATTTCAATTCCAGTGCCATCACTTGAAAATAATTCTTTTGCATTTACATGGTGTCCTTTTTTTAGCTTTCATATCTATCATCCAAAGTATATATCATTTCCATCAGGTAACAGTGCAGTCTCTTCTCCTGAGATATTTTGTCTTTTAGCCAACTTATATATTTATTTGTACATTCCAAAATTTCATCAAGCATAGTTTATATCAACTAGTTTTTTTAGAAATGTTCCTATTTCATACTTTATATCCTTGGCATGGTGTTTTAGGCCAGGTAACGCTAAATATATTCATCTTATTCGTTTTTGAGCAGTTTGCATACTTCTGTTTTCGCCACTTAGAAGATTTATCCTTACTAATATAGAATATACCGTCATCATTCCTTTTTTCTATATCATTATTACTATCATCATCCGAAATATATTGTTCCGATTCACTGCTGATATTATTTATCTCTATATTTTAATCACTGAGACTGCTATTCTCACATCCAAAGGTTTCCTTGTCTTTTTTCCTTCATCAGATAATTCTTGAAGAATGCGAGCAAAATCAGCTGGGTTGCACATATTTTTTAGCTGTGAAAACCAATATACAAAATTTCTACAAAGTAAAATAATACACATCAATTATTAACATGAAATTACAATATATTTGAGAAAAATATTTTCCGAATTTTCACCCATGACAATGCACATGTCGTAACTTTTATGAAAAAGCTGCCACGTAGCACAAAGGTCGAGTAAAAAAACAAAAAAGTCATATGATTTTCTTGTTAGCACATTCATGAGGAATAGATATGACATTTAGACTTCTCAGCTACGATATACGAAAAATGTGCATTAAAAACCGAATTTGTCGTAAACTTTGTGCATAGCGCCTGTGCTGGAAGGTTAAAACATTGCAAGGAAGGAAAGTAAAACCTTATTTTGGCAAGAAGCTTTACTTTTGCTTAGAGACAACAAAAGATGCATACTGATGCTCTGGAATCAGCAGCAAAGCCCAAAATTGGTGTTTTAAACTTAAAGCATTGTGCAAGTAACCTGGACTAACTGATATCTGATTTTGGGGGATTCTCGACATTAACCAGTTAACTGTTTCGTTTTCCTGCCATATTGTGATCAAAAATAAGCATATTTTTTATAAACAATTTTGTATTCTAATTGATTATATAAATTCAAATCAGTAGTCAAAACTTATACAAGTACTGCATTTATAAATTTAAAATAATTTTTACTTAAAGTTGCCTTTTTTTTTCTCACGAAACTGTGGAACTGGAAAGAACACTGTCATAAATGTGAAAGAAGTGAATTCGCTGTGAAAGAAAATTGTAGCAGTGACGGAGGAGGATTACTAGTATCCATTTCTCATCTGAACTTTGTTTCCTCATCATCACTAGAGAATTTCGATAAAGAACTTTCAGGACCATCAGATTCATTTATAGAAAATTCAGATTTGCTATCTGATCCAGTATCGTAATTATATATTGTTATGAGCCATTTATTGCCACCCATTATTCTTTTATTTCATGACAAAATTGGGAATAAATATTATTTAATACACTGAAAACGTAGAAACAAACTCGTTGAATTTCTTCTCTTAATGAAAAGTGGTAAAACATATTCTTAAACTGATTTTACTATCCAATCTCACCTGGACTACTAGAGACATTTATTGGTGACACTGCAAAGTAAAAAAAAAAATGTGGAAAATATCGGGAAAATCAGTGGACTGGTGTACAAAAATAGACTGCCCGAGGGGTGTATTTTTGCGACACCTGAACAGCGTTAGAGCAAAACAGTAAAGCACGTGTGTTAAATTTAGGGATGGGGAAGAATGTGAGACATATGAAGTATTCTGATTTGGAATAATATAATCAGTATTTGGATTAACATAATGAGTATAAAACCTCTTTGGCGAGTTGACGCTTATGATGCTTCGATCATTTTTTGGTGCTACTTTGGTAGACGGTTGCACGCATTTGGGCAATTTTTTGGCGATTTTCCTTTGGCGAGTAATACAAGTTATGGTAAACCCATTGCTGGATAAGTTATTTATGGTAACCGATACTTTGTCATTTTATTTAAAAAATAATGCATTTTATTGTGCATAAATTCCGTGTTTAAAATATTATTTATGGCTTTTAAATATTAAAAATCAATTTAATTTTGCATTTTATTTGAAATAAAAATTTTATTGTTTATCATATTTTATGAAATTTTATGTTGTGGATGATGTAATCAATGACGTCACCTTACTTTAAAAGTAATTCGTTTTAATATGTATAAAATTTAATCTAATGTTTAAACATTATTTATGGCTCTTAAATATTAAAAATACAATTTAATTTTGCATTTTTTTAAAAAATGATTTTATTATGTATGAATTTTTAAATAATTTTAATTCTAGCCATGATGTAATAAGCTCTCTGATTGGTTATAGAATATTTGCGCATTAACGAGCTGTAATCAGCTCCCTGATTGGTTACAATTTGTGCATTTCCGTGCTGTTTTAAAATTTAATTTATATCTTCGAATTCCTTCAAAGATGTCTTCAAAGATGTTATCTAAATTATGATTCTGATTTTTTATTGTGGTACTTATCAGTAAAGAACAGGTTAAACACTCAAAAAATGTAAGTATATATTTTTCTTTATTTTATAATGTATACTTCAATTTTTGTTAAAAAAATTAATACACTACTTTCAGAAATTGCTGAGATAATTATTGTCCATATGTTTTAATGTTAATTATATTCTATATAACGTATTTTAAAGTATTTGAATTTAATAATATTCTAATTCTTTTAAATGTTGGCATGATGGTTTTTAATTCGATATTCAATTTCAGTAATATTTTAATCTAATTAAACGTTGGCCCAATGTTTTTATAGCGGTGTTTTTATTCTCTTCTTTGCTATATGAAAGTAATAATAACCTTACTTTAGTATTTTATACTCATAGAAAATGCATTTATTTACACTTGCCTGCCATCTTAAAAAACGAAATTTTCAACAAAAAATTAATCCATTTACTTTTAACGATATTTATTTATTTATTTTTTAAGTTTCGAATACTTTACTATGTGTAAAAACAGCGTTTTTCGAGATGGCTGACGTTTGTAAAAATCGCGCCAATAATTCGGCCAACATAAATCGCCAAAAATCCGTGCAACCGTCTACCAAAGTAGCACCCATTTTTTTTTTCAACAAGAGGAATTTTTATATACCACGGATAAGCATATTTTGCTTTAAGTGAAAGTAATTTTTTTAAATGACTTGTGAGTTAGCTTACACACATAGTTTTTCCATTCTAGGGGAAAAAATTCAGAATTCAGATCAAATGATGACTTATACACCTCATAAGATATCTTTACAGAAATGATAAGTTGTTATTCTGCAGATAAAAGGTCATTCTTAATATAATTTTTTCTCTGTCAATATGCCTCATAAAATTCTTCTTTGTTCAAGTCATTTGTTAGACAGATAACTCATGAAGTTTCTTTCCTGTGTGCATACGCATATGTTCATTTAAAGTACTCTTTTGTCTGAATGATTTCCTACAGAGCTTGCACATATAAGGTTTCTCTCCTGTGTGAATAAGCTTATGCTTATTTAAATGATCCTTTTGCCTGAACGATGTGTTACACACCTTACACAAATGAGGTTTCTCACCTGAGTGAGTAAGCATATGTTTGTTTAACTGACCCTTTTGTCTAAATGAGCTGTTACATGTCTCACATACATGAGGTTTCTCTCTTGTGTGAATTAGCATATGCTGATTTAAGGCACTTCTTTGTCTGAATGACTTATTACATACCTCACACACATGAGGTTTCTTTCCTGTGTGATGAAGAATATGCTCATTTAAATCATGCTTTACTCTGAAAGATTTGTTACATACCTCACACACATGAGGTCTTACTCCTGTATGAATACGCACATGCTCATTTAAAGCACTCTTTTTTGTAAATGATTTGTCACATACTTCACAAACATGAGGTTTTTCTCCTGTGTGAAGAAGCATATGCTCATTTAAATTTCGCTTTCTGCTGAATGTTTTGTTACATACGTCACAAGTGTGAGGCTTCTCTCTGGTGTGAAGAAGCATATGCTGATTTAAATTACTGATTTGTCTGAATGACTTATTACATACCTCGCACACATGAGGTTTCTCCCCAGTGTGAGTAAGCATATGTTTGTTTAACTGGCCCTTTTGCCTAAATGACTTCTGGCATTCTTCACACATATGAGGTTTCTCTCCTGTGTGAATAAGCATATGCTTGCTCAAGTGATGCTTTTGTCTGAATGACTTTTTACATTCCTCACACACATGAGGTTTCTCTCCTGTATGAATAAGTATATGCTGGTTTAAATGAGGCCTTTGTCCAAACGTTTTTTTACATTCCTCACATGCATAGTGGTTTCCATCCCGCGTGAATAAGCATTTTGTCATTTAAAATACCGTTTAGTTTAAATGACAGATTACATACTTCACACGGAAGGTTTCATTCCTGTGTAGGTATACATGCATTCTAAAATACCTTTTTTCCACATGATTCATTACATATCTCCCATGCATGAAGTTTCTGCCCTATACAGAAAAATACAAACTATAGCCTTCATACTATATAACTTTTATATATGTTACAGGCATCATGGAATTCACGTTCTACATCGATGTAAAAGGTTAACAAAAATTTCACACAAAGTAGTTCTTGGTGCTTCACACTAGCTTTCAGTTTCTTGTACAAACACACATATGATTATAAAAAATGTTAATACTTGATGTGTAGGACAGTTCTAGTGCTCGATATCCGCGATTCCAGAGCTCTGTTATGCCATCTAGTGGCGAAAAGGTGGACCATTCATTTCGCAAAACAGTTCATAAAAATTAAATTGTCATATCTCACATAAATATGATATTCTGCAAGAGTCAAGGAGGTTAGAATACATGGAGATGGCGTCTCTGCTGTCGCAATACGAGGAGAGTGAAGCCGGGGGAAGCAAATAAGCCACGCCTCGTGAGGGCAAGAAAACGCTTCCCTTACTATAAATTATTATAGTGAGGTTAAACGTCAGCTTGTTTGAAGTTTTGAGTGTGTTTTCTGATTTCTTATGTGAAGACGTGAGAGGGTTATAAGGTACTGAATGGTTACATTGAAAAATGTCTACATTTCGGATTTCATTTCCATATAAAAGAATGTTTTTTTAACATGCATAAAATAGAATATTGAAATGTGCGTTTGAAAAGCCGTCAGAAAAGAGTTTGAGAATTTTCTCTGTGTCGCGTGCACGAAGAAATACATATAGTTCTCATATTTTCTTTTTCATAATAACAATAAATATGATACTCGTAATTAACTCAGATGTGAAAGCAAAATGTTAAGTAAACAAGGGAAGGGTGAGTGGCTAGCACTCGATGGAAAAGCAAACAGTTTCCTTTAAGGTGTGATCATATTATATTACAAGTCATATTTTGTATTTAATTTTATTTTCTGTTCAGTAAATATTTAATAACAGATTTAATTTGGGGTGAAATTTGTGGGAGTTTTAAAATAACATGCAGATTTAAATATATTTTTTATCATTGTCATGCAATTATATTTTTCAAAACGTAAGTAGTATTTCTAACATGGAAATTGAGATTATACCTGTATATATTTAGAATAACTAAAATATAATCAATTAAATGGTTTGAGTATTTTTTATTATTTTCACAATACCTTATTGCTAGCATTCATTAATGACAGCATTAATACATAATGCATTTCTCATTTAACTCATTTTAATGGATCATCCCTTTGTACATATTTTCCTCTGCATATCCTGATAATCATTAGAATTGATACAATTATCAGCACTTGCAGCCGTTTCCTTGGATATGTTTTTAAACATGCACAGCAAACTTTTATCTAACTTTGAGCAAAGTATAATTAAATAAATGATAGTATATATGTTAAAGAATATTACCTGTGAAAGTAATACCGGATCCGGCTATTCTTCTATTTGTACAGTCGAAAGCGACGCAGGAATTTACCATTTTGGCAGGAATAAAATGCTTCTCGGAACAATATTGCAGCCGTCTACAAGAATAGAAAATGTAGAAATAAAATGAAATGGCGGGAAAATGTGAAGGAAAAAGCGCGCGAAGAATCCACGGTCTTTATTTACGAACTGGGTGGGCTAGGTTCTGCCTCATTGGCTGAAGAGCTCGTCAATCTTTCTAAAGCCACGACTACTAAGGGCTTGCTTTCCCCCACTTTTTGGCTTCACTTGGACTGCGCGCAGGGCATCTCCATGTATTCTAACCGCCTTGGCAAGAGTACATACACAAGTTTAATTATGAATTTTTGCAATTATGTGATTACGTTGTTTTACGATTACATGAAGTTAGGATTTTCTGACGTTTTTAGCGAATGCTTGATTGTTTGAAGAAGTTACTTATTGAAAACTTGTAAAAGATTCCACCATGCACAATTCGCGAAGTATTTTTCTGAATAGAAAGAAAACTTCATAATTAGCAATTAAATAATATTTATGATTTGTAACAAAAAAAAAAAGCTAATAGTACAAAGCTCCCCTTGCTTTAACCATTCCGTGTTTCACAGAGATTCTCCTCACTCACCCCCCTTGGTCTAATCTCAACTCATTGATCTTGATGAATGTTAAAACCGAAAAAGTGGTTCTAGAAATATAAAAGAAAAGAAAAAAAAATAGCACAGGAAAAAATAGCTAGCTTCAACTGGAATTATTAACTAAAGTAAAACACATTCCTCAGAACAACTTCGTTGTTCGCAGAACATCTTTACTACGAGAAAGGGGGGGGATAGGAGGAGTTAACGATATTCTCTGTGTTGTATGAAGGTCTACTAATAACTTTCTCGCCAAGTTATTTGGCATTTTCAGTTTATTGTAATTTCTATAACTGTGCTAGAAGAACGGAAAGCAAATTTTCATTGTTCGCCTATCAGTACAGAAAGACTTAGCGGGTGCAAAACAAGACATCTGTTTAACTTGTCTCTTCTCTGCATAGAGATTCTTAACCTCCTTGCTTCTCTGCCTCTGCGTGGTAAATGTTTGCTGTACATCGTACATTTTATTATTAAATATGAAAAGTAACTGCTTGCATGTTCATTTGCTATCTCATCAGCTGGTAGATTCCTGGTCGAACACGCGCTAAATGCTCCAATTTGATTTAGCTCGTATAGAGATTACTGTTCATCAAGTGTTTAAAGTAAGCATGAAAATTAATTCTTATGTATATAAAGCTTTGCTAATAAGCTTAAGACTGAGAACATTTCATGTAAATATTCCATTTTTTTAAAATTTAATTTGTGTAGAAGTTGCTCTTTTTTATGCTCTTTTTAAACACGTTAATTAGTTCTTTTTGTGTTATTTTAATACCTTGTTTTGCATTTTATTTCACAGATTTAATGCTATTTATTGACAATATGCATTGAAACCACTGATGGTTAGCGGTTCGGTAAACTATTTCCTGATCTTTTTCCTGAATTTTTTACCGCACCGTTGGCTAAATTTGCTGTTTATGCATTAAAATTTTTATTTTATACTTGATTAGGTGGTGAATGCGCAGAAGTCCATCATTAATGATCGCTTTCTTAAAAAAAAGTGCTATTTTTAATTGTCTACTGTGCTGCTGTTCATACTGCAGTTTTTGAGTGGATATAAAAATTAATTTTTGCATGTTTCTTCATGTCTCCATTTATTGTGCTGGAAAATTTCTGACTTAAATCATTTCAAGTTAAATGCGGCGTTTTCATTTAGCTCTTGTAGAGATTACTGTTCATCAAGTATTTTGGCTCAATATTAGAAGGCGCTGCACAAGTCGACTCAGTTGAACGCAGTTCGCGAAACGGGCTGAGACGGTGTTTACTTGTCTTAGGTTTTTTTTTACTTATTACGTGCTCCGCCCTTAGGCACTACACGGAAAGGGAGGGATGCCCAGTGGAGGTCTTTTTAAGGTAAACTGGCTCGTATCCACGTTACACATGGGCAAAACGCCCACGCAGCCAGCCCGTTCGCCGTGATTCGAACCCCGGACCAAACTACCAGTGTTCAGCGGCTTTTACCGCTCGGCCGCTGGTGGGCCTTGTCTCAGGTTTTGACATGCCTTTTTATGACGTAATATTGGCTACGCCTCTTTTTTTTTTCCTTTACTTTCTGCAGTACGGATGATTATCGGAATCTGGATTTTTTTTTAATCCGTTGGAGCGAAAAGGTAAAAAAAGCGTGATTGAGTGGTGTATGGAGAAAAGTTTTATTGCAAGATCGTATAAATGTCCAATTTGTGAAACCAGAAGAGCGAAAGAACTGTATAGATGGTTTTAAGTAAATATATAGAGTTATTGGAGGGGAATGTAAGCTTCGAATCGAATGGTTTGCGAAGAGTAAATTGAGCATGTGTGGTGTTATGTGAGTTACCTATATGTGGTTACATAAGTGCAGAAATTATTTTATACGATAGGAATTACGTATTACTAAAAATATGGTGACAAATTGGAAAAGTTTTGTAGGGAAGTGTACATGGACTTAAGCTTGATAGACAATGTGATGTTGGGTAGGGAAGGCGTGATTGTGAAGGCTGACGGAAGAAAATTTTGTAAACAGAAATATCATAGAGGGAAAAAGAGTCGAAGGGAGATGATGTGTTTGGTTTGCTTGAGAGAGAGACGGATAAATACGTATTTAGAGTGGTTGAAAGCAGAGGTGCCGAGTCATTGTTAGAAATTTTTAAACAAAATATTCTGCCAGGATCAACTGGACAGGTGGTGAATGAGCCGAGATACCGAACGTGTTAGACGTATAGCTGTTTGTTCTCACTTTCGAAGCGATCTGACCCAGTCACGTAGGCGGTCAGTGATTGTTTACTTCAACTGATTAGATACCCTCGGGTATTACAAAATGTCCTTTTTCAGGACTCCAGGTGATGAAACCGACGACGGCGAGCTAAACGAGAGGAGTTCAATAAGCTCGTTCCGTTCAAACAAGACGTTTTCTTTACGGAAAGAAGATTTCGCTCTCTCATCGAAAGGAAAGAAGAAAGGGAAGAAATTAAGCCTATCTAGTTCGCAAGAGCTATTGCGAAAAATATTTGACAGGGAGAGTGGAAGTGGCATGGAAAAGGAAATAGTAAAACTACTAGGGAAATTCGGAGTAGATGAAAGAATCAGGATACTAAGGGAACAAGGTTATCCAGTTGATTTTGAAGACGCCAAGAAGCCGCTCAAGGATGATGAAACCCAGGATGCAGATTCAGAGCAGGACGAGGATTGGGAAAAATCGAAGAAAACGGCAAAAAGTTCAGAAAGAGGTGTTCCGATGGAAGTGAGCCAAGAATATCGTTTTTAGTTGCTAGGAGACGTACTTGAAACAAGCGAAGAAGGAGGAGCTAATCCAGAAACGCCCCCATCGATTGTATTGCAGCAACAGGCCACGGATTGGATGAAGGTGCATGAGCTATTTGTTGAACACTGCAGATGTGAATTCGAGGCGGAGATGAAAGTAAGATCCATCTATGTGAACGTTAAAACGGTTGATGACTACAGAAGGATGACAAAAATTTTGCAATAGAAGAAAATTCCGTTCCATTCTTTCCAACTTCTGAGTGAGAAGCCCGTGAAGGTAGTAATTAAGAACCTCCCAAGCACCGTCAATGAAGAGGCAGTCCTACAGGATTGACTAAGGAAATTCCCGGCAACGAAGGTAAAGCAATTCCGAGAAAGTAGAAGGAATGATTTTGAGAGGTTGCCAATATTTTACGTTGAATTAGAGAAAACAGCGGAGGGTTATTCAATCCACCAGCTGAATAACATGTTCGGACTTAATATCAGAGTGGAAAAATTTACGCCAAAATAACGACCCTTGAAATGTTATCGGTGCCAGGAGTATGGCCACTCCCAGCATCTGTGCACTAACGCTGAACGTTGTTGCAAGTGCGGACAAGCGCATAGAAGCAAGCTTTGCCTGCTGAAGGA